TCCTTTCCAATACACATCACTTTAGAGACAGAAGATTAACAAATGAATTTGCCTTATAGGGTGAAAGCAAGCCAAAACACTGCCACTGTTTTATTCTGTGTGGAGAACAAAATTCTTATATTAGAGTAAGAATAGACAAGGATGTGGAGGCACAGTATGACAGACTGCAGACATGATCCTTTTGGGTCACGAATCTCAGGTTGGAACTGGCCATGTAGAATGACCATCTTCTCTTGCACTCACCACTACTACCCACAACTGCTAAGATCTTTCCTAATTTTTCTAAGCTTTTTCTATGCTCTGTACAGCTAAGAATGAACAAAGCTTCAGGACTGGAGGACAGGGGAAATGGGTGCTTAGGAGTCCTGCTTCTCCTTTTCTCCATTTTAAGCTCCTGTAGATTGCCCATCCAACACATCTGATTAATCCCCCAAAAGCACTGAATGATTTCAAGGATATTGATGCACAACCCTTACCAGTGCTTTTATTTTAAGCCTCAAAGATACTCCAATTGGTATTTAAAGAGTACTTCCTGGAGAATTTATAACATCCAAATCTCCCACATTGAGAACAATAAGGTTTCATGAAAGGAATGAAGAAATATAGCCATTTAAATTGTTCAACATCATTAAAATACTCCTAACTAGCTACTTCAAGATAAAAAAATACTACAGTTTCACAGAAAAAATATTAGTTCCTCCTTAGACAGACTTTAAATAAGGCTTAAGTGGGATATCAATGACTGAAATATGCTCATGTTTCCTTAGCTTCTCCAGAGAGCATTTCCTCTGACTCTAAATAGGAGTAATCTAATGGCTTTGACTAAACTGCATTTCTGAACCTCAAGAAAGCAGGGTCCCTTCTCTGACATCTTCTTTTGATCTGATATTAAGAGATGTTCAATTGCCTATAAATCCTTTCATTAGCCACTATAGACCAGATTTTCAGAGGTACTGCATACCTGAACGCCGGCTTCAGAGGGGAGGATGGAGGACAACTGCAGCTATGCACAACCCAACATCTTCATCAATTATACACTACACCAAAAGGCACCAAATCATCAGTATCAGGTGTCCTGCACACATGAAAATCATCTGGCCTATTTTACAAAAGTTGATGTGCTGAAGTGCAGCTGTGCCCAGTTACCAGAGCAAGTAAATGTCCTTGCTCTAAAGAGGTGGACTCAAAGAGCAGGGGTGATGACAAAAGCTAAGGGGCAAAGCTGTGCAGAGAGTGCAGAACTATCAAGCAGTAGTTCTGGAGCTCAAAGCAAGGGGAGGGATTAGTTCCATGCTGTGCATGTGAGGAACAGTAGCGGCAGTGTGCTAAGGAGAGAAAGACAAGGATACAGCTATTTCCTAGGCACAGCACAATAGTTTCTGGAGCCTTTTTTTGAAAGTTCATGTAAGTTCCTATGAAGTTCCTTTCACAAGAAAACAGTTTAGATATTTCATTGAATACACTGGTCACATCTAATATTACCCTGACTCTGGCTGAAATTTTGGTGAAATTCAACTTTCTGTAATACTTAAAAGTACATGGACCCTCTTAATTTCAATAAAGTAGTCCAATTTCTGCCTCTTTAAACCTCTCTCTACAGCAGAATTTACATAAAAACATCAAACTCATCAAGACTATCCTCTGTGTGTAAAACCAGACTTCTGGAAAAGCACAGGGTGAAGGCTACTGGTGAAATCGCCATTCTCTCAGGCCCAGGTTCTGTAGACAATAAATCAGTTTGTTAACATGTAAGCCAACCCACAGGCAGTCTAGGCTGCCACAGGCAGACTGTTCCTAGTACTACCATTGGTTTTAAAGTTTGTCCATGGTCCCCTGCATGTCACAGTGTAGTTGCTGAACAAAAGCTCACCTATGGCAAGCCCGCTCTGCCTGCTTAGTGAGTTGCTGCTCACTTTTTAAAATTTAGGTTCCCTTTTTGTCCCAGCAGCATCCTTCAAATCACACTTCATCTTAACAATAATAACAATGCTGATATAAAACTGTTCCCAAATGGTTGGCATCAGGTCCTGCCCTGTTATCTGAATTTCTCCTGCTATACCTAAAAAGCACCTTCTTCAATAGATGTAAAGGATCTGAGTGACCAGAGCTACTCCTGCTCAGATAAGCTGGCATAACATCCCAGAATTCTATTCCACATCACTTACAACTTCAGTTTAATATATATCAATATCTGTGACTAAATGGTACCTCAGTGTTATGAGAGGTATCACACTGTCAATATGCACTCACAGCATGGATTCCAGGATACTCCAGTCCAGTTGCTTACTGCTGCTGATCCCACTTAGCATGCTAATTCCAACTCCTACTAAACCAGCAGGAAGACAAGACCCTAACTTGTTACAATTCATTTCTATATTGCTGAGGCCATTTCAGCTCACTGAGATGTTCATTCAGAGAAGTTTTCATTACTCTTTGGTTAATGTGGCAGTTAACATCCTTGAGCTCCATGTTCCTGTGTCCATTTAAAAATGTGGGAAAAAAAATGGGTTGCCCTTATTTAGGATACAATCTCATAGTCAATCATTTGAAAAATCTTAATTTGCAATTGCTCAAGTGGATAGTGAAACCATTTCCTAAATGATGCTGCTTGCCTTTCTTAATACAGCCTTTCTAATACCAGATTCCTCTTGGTATTAGAAAGGCTGTGTTAACTCTGTATCAGTGTTCTTTAACAAAACAGCACAGCAGTAAACACCAAAAATAAGAGTTTCATGCTTAAGGTACTATACATTAGAAAAATGTAATGTTCTATCAATGTTTCTTGCTGTTTTATAGTTACCTGATATATGTTGGACTTTCAATCCTTTCTATGCCGTGAGCATTCATTACATTTACACATTTTACAGTTCTCTAGTAATTTTGCAATACATTTTCCTGAATCAGCTGATGACATTTAATGGAATGTTTAAGACACAATATAAAACCATAAATGCTTTTGCTTATTCTGGAGAAAAAAAACTGTGCACGTAAATTGGTTTTCATATTAAAAACTATGTTGGTGTACCCAGCATTTTTGCTTCTGCTATACATATTAAAATATAACTAAATGCCTCTTATGCAATACTGCAGCATAAGTACAAATAACAAGCATTTGTACTTTACAAGCAAGCTATATGATTAAGGGGCTATTAATGAAGTGAAACAAAACCTCAGTGCTAGAATGTAATAGTCCATGAAATTCTTATGGGGAGAAAGAGAATCTGCAGTGAATAAATATTAACCTAAATGCAAGAGAAAACATAAAGCAAACAAAAAAAGAAAGCATTTTTAAAGCCAAGATTTTGGTAAAAACTGCTGACTACTTAAGGAAAGTCTATTTGCATACCACAGGGCTCCATCTGCTGTGGAAAATATAGGCTGCAAGAATGATTTAATATTTAATAGAAGTAGTGGCCGTTGTTAATTATAATTTGCACATTTACAAATCAGCACTGATAGCAATACAAATTATGAAATATAAGGGTGTTATGCCGGATACTGGGGAAAATAAGATGACAGACAAAGTTAATGGAGTATCCCTAACAACAGCTCTGTCAGAACACATCAGAGAACTAATCCAGTTACTAAGAGGCTGCAATGGAAAATCTATTTAAAATATTAAAATGCTGTTTGGTAAAAGCTTTTTCCTAGTGCATTTTACTTAAACAGTTGCTTATTGCTCATGGGTCATTAGCTGTACACCCAGATGCATTCTGCAAACTGCTGTTCGAAAGAACAGTAGGAATTAAATAAGAAATAGATTTCTGCAGCATTTTTCCTGAAATCTAGAATCATCTTACTGCAGATTACAGACAGAAAAGAAATATCAGCTACTTCCAAGATAGGTGCTGTAACTGTTACTATAACTAGACATTTCCTTTCATTAAAAAAAATAAAAAAGCAACATGCTATAGAGAACTTGACTCATTTGAAAAATTTGCCATTCCTGGAACTCACTCCAAGTGCATTAAGAGACCAATATGCAGAGAAAGTAATGCCAATACTGAAAACTTAGTTTTAGTTTAAGACTTAGCATTACTTTGATTTCAACACTGAAACTATAAATAGAATCTTCTTTAGTAAAACCACAGAAATTACCATTGATTGTTTTCATTAATCTCACTTTTCTCATCATCATGTAATATGGATTGCAGATAGAAACCACTAATGCTTTAATAGCAACTCTGCTCACCAAGTCATTCATGCTGCTACTGATTTCTGTGTTTTCACATCAGGTAGGTGGTCTGTAATACAAACCATGAGGCAACCCTAAGCCCTTTTAATTCAACAGGTAGCTTAGTGTTTATGTCACCTACTAGATACAAGGCAAAAGCATGTACAAGGCAAGAGCCTGTAATATTCCCAGTATACAGTTCACTGTAATACACAAGCTAATTGTGCTCCTATGGTACAGACAAATCATATTCAGTCTGCAGAAAGAGGTACAAAAGTTACCTCCTTAAAGTCTAACAGATTAGCAGGTACATATCAATCTGAAACTCTGGCCATGAGTCACCCTAGACTGATCTAGCAGTGTTTAGTTTACAAATTCTGCTGGAAAATGTCAAGAGTACCACATTTTATCTGCATCTTCTTTAGTCCATGTATTGGATTTCTTTTTATTTCACGTCTACAAAAGGAAGGATGTGGAATTAGGCAATTAGATATGCTGATTGAAATGGTCTGGAGAAGCCAAAACTCCTGTTTCAGGGGCACAGCTCACCAATTATGACAGAATCATGAACCTACAACTATCTTTCTGTTCCTTCTGTTGTTAGTGAATATTTTTTCTCTGATCAGAAGAGTTGCATTTTGTCTTCACCTGGTTATTCATACCACTGGCTGGATAATTAAACAGAGTTAACACTTGTTTTGCTGGAGTACAATTTAAGACATGCTTGGATGTATTAATTTGAATTATACTGTGTCAGTTTCCCTTCAAGAAAATGTTATTGTTGAGCATCACATGAAAGGCAGTATTTCAATGCTAAAAGCCATACCTTCTGGTGCAGAATCAGTATCTGCCCATTTTCACCTCCTCAATTCCTTCCCTTAGCAATGGTTTCAATAATGAAATCATTCTCACACATCTATGCCTGCAAAGAGAAAAAATAGGCTTTGTTATTTTTGATTCTGAATCTCTATTTATTGTGCAATCAGAAAGGTGATTTTAATGTTATCAAAATTAATGCCCAACAATTGCATAAGGCAATTGCATAACAATTGCCCAACAACTGAATATTTGAATTTTCTACCAAATTATTTTATGTGCTTTTGGGACTCTATAAGAATCACAAGATCTTTTACAAGATGTGTGATGATGAGGGAGATTATCCAGAATTTTAGGCAGCTTGTTCTGCGGCAAGATGCCAAGACCTCATTTGACCGCTGCTGTCCTAGTCTATAGTAGTTGAGGGCAATCTCTGCTTTTTGTTAGGCAATAATTCCACTTCACAAAGAAAAGTTGTCAAGACAAAATAATGATTGCTGCAAGTTCCTCTCTTTCGCAAAACACAAAAATCTCTGATTAGCTAAAGAACTAAGAAATTATAAAATAAAGATAAAATGGTTCAAGCAGAGAATGCAATTCTGGTTTTATGAAAACCAGACCAAAATAACATGACTTCCAGATATTTTTAAATTCTTTTTGTGTCATGCCAGCAATGTAAGACTATCTTAATACATGGCTGAAAATGCCCTTGTCACCAGCAGCTCCTCAGATCTCTACAATACCTAGATCACCTGATCTCAGTGCATGAGTACTATGCAGAACAGGACACAGAAGAAACACAGCAAGAATATGAAATATCTCTTTGGCATGGTTAGTAGAGCAGTTCTTCAGCAGCTGTTACTCAATTTAGTGCTATCTCTATTTATACTAGAGATTGTTTTTTCCTTCAGCAATCTCTAGGTTCAAGACATCAGAAAAGCACAGAAAGATTACCCATTGTTTGGGGGTTTTTTAATTGCATGAAGTGTTAATCTGGTAAGCACATGAAATTCCATCCTAAATCATAAAAAACCCATAAATTATTTACTAACCCATCATTATTGTATATAAGCTGAGGACCAAACAAAGCAGTGTACAGTATTCTGTAGAGGTGGAGAAACAGGAAAATTAAACTTAACAAGTACCAGCACAGCCTGTGTTGTTGTTCATCCTGGCCTGATGAGTCTATGTCATTTTAACATGTACATGCTCATTTATTATGTCACAGGTCAGATCAAACAGCCACCCAAATTGCAATTTTCAGAGCTGAAATAACATATAACTCCCATTTATTCTTCAGAAATCTCATGTAGTAATAATTTTCACTCTGGGTCAAATATACACTTAGCAAAACACATCTAACAAATTTATGGGTTTTCCTCTGATGTCAGCAAAGCATTTTCACACAATAGTCCATAATGAGTATAAAGAACCTGCTCTATTTACTAGGCATTGTAATTTCTTGCTCAGAGAACACAAAAAATAGAAACACACATAGTAAATTTCCTCCCCTACTTGGTCTCTTGATAGCAGCACAAAAGGAGTAAATGATTGCATGGATGGCAAAGATGTCCCCTATTGCATAATTACTGGCCAGGATAATGAAAGGTTCTGTGACACAGACACCAATGTTTCCTAGTCCTGCAGGTCAGTTTTTCCTGAAAGGTACCTAGAGCTCTAGTTTCTCCTAGGTACCTAAAGCTCTAATTCCATCAAGTACATCTTGTTGTAGAGAGTAAATAAAGTAGACAAAATAGTCCTTTCTGAAGATCAACAGTTTTTTGCAGAATGACAGGCAATCAGCTCCATGGGAATTCACAGCAATCTGGCATCCCACACACATAATTCACGAAGTCCTTGCCACTAACTATATTTGGGATCCCAGAAAATCCTGGAAAGCCTCAGAGCTGGGGAAGTGCAAGAAGTGGACTTCCCCAGAAGTTAGAGAAAAAGCTGGGCCTGAAGAGTGGCAGAAATGGACTTGGATGTTGGATTTGAATGCTTCCTGCAGGCCACGGAGCAGTTTGGAGGAGCCTAAGTCAGGCTGAGGTTTAGCTGGTAGTCACTCCAGATTGGATATGAATGGTGTTCTAAAGCTAAAAAAGCTCATGAAGCCCTCTCAGTACTATGCCATCTGGACCTGTGATACCTGTATTGCAATGGTCTCTTGAGTAGAAAATATTTTCTCTGGATTTCTTGCTTTGAAGTTTCCCAATATAATGTTTTTGATCTTTGCCATAGAACCCGATGTGAAACTTTGAGTTACAATACAATATACTTTAAGATACTAAGGAAAAATAAAGTTGCATTAATTACATTCATAGAATGTTTTAAACTTGCAGTGTGTGAAGGAAAGACTGATCTGGGCTCTTTATTTCACTGTAGCCTACCAAGGAGAGAGACACAAGGGACAGAAGGAAATCTTCCATTCAGGAAGTACCAAGTTAAACCCAGAGCTTTTAGTGTGTTCCACATTACATGTGACCACAAATTCAGTTTAAAGCCATTCTCCCTTGGCCTATCATTACATGCCCTTGTAAAAAGCCCCTCTCCAGTTCTCTTGTAGGTCCTCTTTAGGTACTGGAAGGGGCTGTGAGGTGCCTCCAGAGCCTTCTCTTCTCCAGGCAAAAAAAACCCACTAACTCTCTCAGCCCATCTCATACAGAAGGTGCTCGAGGCACCTTCTTGATTTTGTAGACATTCTGATCTAATTTGTAAAATAAAATAAAAGTACCTGACAGATAATGTCTAAACTAGGCACAGGTGTGTAGGGCAGTGGAAAATCCAGCAAAAAGGAACATATCCAAATAAAAAAAATCAGAAAACACAGCATCATACAAATAAAAGTATGGCTGCCGAAAGTGTCTTTTTATTATTGTCAGTGAGTTTCTTCTACATCCTTATTGATACTTCCTCCTGTCATACTGCTGCCGTATAACTCTAGCCATGACATTCATCCATGTTGTTTACTCGTGGCATCTTTCACTTCCTAATGGGTCTTTTCTCTTTATTTAGATCCAACATAAAAGCATCCTTTCAAGTTTGTTTTTAAAGAGGAAAACTATTTCCTCAAACTGAATCAATTAAATGTCTAATATAGGTGTCTAGATTAGTGCTTTAGGCTTTTTATCTAGTCATACAAACAGAGTATACAGAGGCAAAAAAGAGAACTGAGTAATCCCCTTAAGTTTCACTAAAATGTTACTATGCCCATAAGTCTGTCACTTACACCACACACCTAGAGCTAGACCCTAAACAGAGTTTGAAAGGATGGAGTGAGATTTTCAACAGCATTGACCTAACTTTACAGCAATTTAAGTCATAGGAATTTTACCATTAACTTAAATGTGACCATTTAAGGCAATGCTAAGTGCATCTGAAAATCCAATCTGTAATCTTCTTTAAATTTATGTCTAGGCAAACTGGACCAAAAAAATAATAGCTTTACAGTCATTACTTATTTTTAAATCTACACATCAGCCACATGTGAACATGATATAGTCTGTGCACATGTAAGAATAAATGCATGCATACATATAAATGAACTGAATTTTTGTGTTGACAGATTATTTGCCAAGTTAAAGCCAAATGTGATTTGAAATTACCATGATATTACACTGAATAAAGAGGATTTATAATGGAAATACTAAAAGAACCTCTGTAATAGTGATCCGGCCAGGCACTCCTATAACAACATATATTTCATTCTTTTCAGTTAGCTGTTTTTCTTTCTCTGAATGTTTGAGAACAGTAAGTGAAATGTTAATTTTTTTAAGTCAGAACCATCTAGCTAAACCATCCAAATCGTTTTTGTATACAGAGATTTTATTTGTAATCTTTCTCTGCAAGCTGCTTTGTTAAATCCTAATGACAACTTTTATGCATAATGCATAAAATAAACTTTACCAATGTTTAACACACTTTTATAAACATGTAAAACCCCTTCATAAGTGAGATGACACACTGCAGGGCATGCAGTTGCAGTACACTGGGAAACCACACTTCCTAGATGACTGAAGGCATCTGCTCCGTGCCATTAATTTCTCAACATCGAACACATGTAGTTGTCTTAGAACAGCGGTGCATCATATTCTGTACTTTTTTTATTAATAGAGAAGTACATTTTACTGCATGTATAAGTGTGCTCTGCACATCTACAGTCCTTTTTCTTTTATTCTAGGAACATCTGTATTTTCTCAAGGAATGGGGAGAGGGGAAGACAGCAAGATAGCTTTTTACTTTATCAAAACACTTTATTTTAACAAATAACTATCTATAAAAATATATGCTAACAAGGAGTCACTCAAAAATGGATGGTATAAATCTTCCTTATGCAAGAGGCAAATAAATCAGAATAATAACAATGTATCACTAGCCTATGTCACTGAAATGATTTGTTTTACTCCTTTAATCTTTACCATATCTAAACTGACTATAATAAATGAATAATTACTCTGAATGCAGTGGAGTTAATTGAAAATCTGCTTGAAGTATAAAACCAAGAAATCATAACAACAAATACAAGGTTTAGCCAGTGTTTAGGAACTTGTCTTTGTCAATAATTTTTAAGGTTCAGTGTAAATGATACTGTTTACCATCGTACATCATCTAACATTACTTCAGAAAGTCATGAATTATTTCAGACTTCCATGAATATTAACAATCTTCAGAGTCATGGTATTTCATCAGCATATACCCAAGTATTAAAGTCTTATGGGGTTTGACTTTTCAAAATGAAACCAATTTAATTTGAGTTTGTTTTATTCTCAAAACCTGATTTCTAAGTCCAGAGAGGTGTATACTTTCATGCATGTGAAGCTCAGGCTTTCTTCAAATGTCAAAGGTATGTCACTTAACACAGGGACAGGCTGATTGTCAAAGCACACATCTGCACATGCCCTTCCTATTGTGTGTCCAAAACAATTGGAATCCTAAGAAAAGCATACACTAGTAAGGGGAAGACAAAATTTAGTGGTTGTTTCCTACTTAAAAACACAAAAAAACCCCAGACCTTCCTTGGAAACTATACAGTTTTGGACACTAATCAAGTGGCCAAAACAAAAAGTAAAGAAATATTGTTTGCATGAAAGTCACTGCTAAAACATA